CGGCTTGCCTCCAGAAGTTGTGGGTGCTCCAAGACTGGGGGCTTTTAAGAAGAAATTTGACAACCAAACTCTTGGTTGAATTGGGAAAGGGTTTCCTGCTCAAGCAGGGGTTGGGCTAGAAGACCTCCAAGGTCCCTTCCAACTCTGTTATTTTGTTATTCTGGTAATTAATCCGTGGAATGATTTTCCTTCAGAGGTTGTGGGTTCTCCAACACTGGAGGCTTTTAAGAAAAGACTGGACAACGATTTGACTGAAATGGTATAGGGTCTCCTGCTCAAGCAGGGGGTTGGACTAGAAGACCTCCAAGGTCCCTTCTGACTCTGTTATTCTATGTTCTAACTAGGCAATGTCATCAGTGCTAGGAGGGAGTGGCTGCCTCTGTTCTTGGTTGGTTACCATCTCAGTAAAGAACAGCCTAATCAAGAAATTACCAAGAACATTCACACCAACACTGACAGAGGAAGCCACTAGTACAGGGGTAGGCAACCTTGGCTCTTTTATGACTCGTGGACTTCAACTCCCAGAATTCCTGAGCCGACATGGCTCAGCATGGAAACCTCTCCCTTTCTCCTCAGCATAGCTGGCTCAGGAATTCTGGGAGTTGAAGTCCACGAGTCATAAAAGAGCCAAGGTTGCCTACCCTTGCACTAGTATATAAACAGAGAGCAAACCCCCCACCCCTTCTAGAATTGATGAAGTTACCTAGTTGGGTCATGAAACGTCTGCAAGAAAATAACCCACTTCAAAGAGCACCAAGGACCCTACAGTCTTCCTCCTCTTCCTCCTCCTCCTCCTTTTCCACAACCCCCCTCCCTTCTAGCACTGGCGATGTCATCTAATTGGGTCACGAAATATCTGTGAGAAAACGACCCAGCTCAGAGACCGCACCAAGAAGCCCACATTTCAACCCTGAGCTACAAAGATTCTCCCCGATTTATTTAAAAGGTTTATACAGCCGCCCATCGTATACCAAACTCTGGGCGGTTCCCACTAGGATTGCGATAATGGTGCTTCGGCTCCATTAATTTCCAGGAATGGCTGTGCACAAGGGAGCAGCGGGTTGGTGAAAGAAACAGCGCATTACGGAGTTACCTCGGCGCGCACGGGCCTGGCGGGGATGGCAAGGCCCTGCTACTTCCTGACTATGGTTGTTTTTCTGCTTTTGCAAACATCTTGGCAGCTCCTCAAATAGAAGAGGGGAGGCCTCCCCCCTCCCCGCATTCTTCTCCCAATGGAGCTATGGAGTTCTGATCCCAAACACTCACTGGGGGGAAAGCAACTCAAAGTGTTGTGGTGTGACAATATCATTGACCTTTCTCTCTCTCTCCACGGTTTTCGGAAAAAGTTTACTCAAAGTATTAAAACAAAAGAATCCTCTTTTCTTCCTCATATTGCAAGGAGAGAGTAAGATACTCAAAGGTTCCCACGTCCTTTGCTAGAGAAGACAGGTTGAGTTTGGCCAACGAGCTTAGACTCAAAAAGCTTGCTGGTTGTAGGTCGTCCTCAACTTACAACAGTTCATTTACTGACCGTTCTAGGTTACGACGGCACGGGGGAAAAAGGGACTTATGACTCTCAAGCACTGCACTGTCCCCACGAGGATGCGGTAAAAATTCAGACACGAGGCAACGGACTCGTATTTATGACAGTCGCAGCGACCCAGGGTCACGTGATTCCCCTTTGGCGACTTTCTGACCAGCAAAGTCAATGTGGAAGTCAGATTCCCTTAACAACATGTTGCTAGCTTAACTGCGGTAATTCACTTAAGCACTTTGCCAAGGAAGGTCGTAAAACGGGGCAACGTTCAACTTAACAATGGTCTCGCTTAGCGACGGAAACCTCTGGCTCAGTTGTGGTCATACGTCGAGGTCCTCCCCTGTCATTTGGGGCCGATTCATTCTGTGAATTGTGCCCACTGAATGACTTCAGCAGATTCTACTTAAGCGTGGAGAGATGTCACAGGAACCCTGCCTTGGAAAAACTACACAATGGGCATTGTTTAAGACAGGGGTAGGCAACCTGGGCTCTTTTATGACTCGTGGACTTCAACTCCCAGAATTCCTGAGCCAGCCATGCTGAGGGGAAAGGGAGAGGTTTCCAAGCTGAGCCATGCTGGCTCAGGACTTCTGGGAGTTGAAGTCCATGAGTCATAAAAGAGCCAAGATTGCCTACCCCTGGCCTAGGAGGCTCACCGCTTAGAACAGGAGGACCTAGGACAGGGATAGACAACCTTGGCTCTTTTATGACTCGTGGACTTCAACTCCCAGAATTCCTGAGCCAGCCATGCTGAGGGAAAAAGGAGAGGTTTCCAAGCTGAGCCATGCTGGCTCAGGAATTCTGGGAGTTGAAGTCCACGAGTCATAAAACAGCCAAGGTTGCCTGCCCCTGGTTTAAGAAGCATCATGGGTTGGGCAAGAGTTTAGCTCCTGTGAAATGGAAGGCTTACACTGACTGGCCATAAGCACCGGTTCAGTTACAGCCTCCCTTAAGGATTTGGAGTAAGATAAGTAGGGTTAAAGAGGTTCAACAATCACCTGGCAGGTTTACCAACCGATGACAAATGTTATGTTTAGGGAATGTTGGTTGGTACCAAGGTGATCGCTCTCAATCAAAACTTAAACAGAAGGAGCTCCGATTTAGTCACAGGAATTAGCTTGCAAAGTTAGCAGTGTTTCTCTTTCTTCCCTTCCCTTCTCTTCCCTCCCTTTCTCTCTCCTTTCTTCTCTTCCTCTCTACCTTCCTTCTGTTCCCTTCCTCTCTTTCTCTCCTTCCTTTCCTTTCCTTCTTCTCTCTCTCTCCTCCCTTCCCTTTCCTTTTTTCGCTTTCTTTCCCTTTCCTTTCTCTCTCTCCTTTCCCTTCCTTTCTCTCTCCTTCCTTCCTTGTTCTCACTTTCTGCTTCTTTCCTTTGTTCTTTCTCTCTCCTTCCCTTCCCTTCCTCTCTCTCTCTCCTTCCTTTCTTTTCCTTCTTCTCTCTCTCCTTTCCCTTCCTTTCTCTCTCCTTCCTTTCTTGTTCTCACTCTCTCCTTCCTTCCTTTGTTCTCTCTCTCTCCTTCCCTTCCCTTCCCTTCCCTTCCTCTCTTTCTCTCTCTCTCTCTCCTTCCTTTCCTTTCCTTCTTCTCTCTCTCCTCCCTTCCCTTTCCTTTCTTTCTCTCTCTCTTTCCCCTTTCTTTCTCTCTCTCCTTTCCCTTCCTTTCTCTCTCCTCCCTTCCTTGTTTTCACTCTCTCCTTCCTTCCTTTGCTCTCTCTCTCGCCTTCCTCCCCTTCCTCTCTTTCTCCTTCCTCCTCTTCCTCTCTCTCTCCTTCTTTCCTTTCCCTCCTTTCTTCCTCTCCTCCTTCCCTTCCTCTCCTCCCTCCCTCACTTTTTTGGTGTAGTAGTTAAGGTGAAATTTCTCAAGCTGAGCAACTGTAACCTGGGTGGACTTCAACTCCCAGAATTGCGGAGGTGGCTAGGGAATTCTGGGAGTTGAAGTCCACACATCTTAAAGTGGCCAAGGTTGAGAAACACTGAGTTATGAAGAGTTTTGTCATCAACAACAACCCTGTGAGGTGGGTTGAATTGAGAGAGAGAGAGAGAGAGAGTGAATAGGCCAACGTCATCCACCCAGCTCAGCCAACGTCATGGCTAAGGCGGAACTTGAACTCACAAAACTTGTGGACTTCAACTCCCAGAATTCCCCAGCCAGCATGGCTGGCTGGGGAATTCTGGGAGTTGAAGTCCAAAGGTCTTAAAGTTGCCACGGTTGGACACCCCTGCTCTAAATATTACCTATGTGAAGCATTCCCCCATCAGAATTCTGGAAGAGGTTGGCAGGACCCTTTCAAGAAATTCAAACTTTTTGACACCCAATGGTGCAAACCTTCCAGTTAGACAGAACGCTTCAACGGTGCTTGATGGAGTTCTGTGAAACCCCAAGGCTAGCTTGTTCAAAATAGTCCAATTTGGAGAGAATTTTCAATTCTTCTTCCCTTCTGGAAGCAAAACCCTTCATGGGCACAACTAGTGAGAAAACCTCAGCCTGACGTTTTTCAGTGCCTGGCTCCATTCATATAACAGTCCGAGCCTGGTCCGTAATCAAGCCCATTTCCTAGGTTAGAACAGTACCTCCCAGCCAGAATTAACCAAACAGGCTGGACGTCACTAGGGTAGATATTCAGCCAGAATAAAAACAGGCTAACTTTAACCCTTCTCATCTTGTGTGTACAGAGCAGATAGATCTTTAACTGGTTGACGGGAGCAGGGTGCACAAACCGAGTCTTGGATGGATTACAAAAACTTCACATCCAGTGGCAAAGAGAGTAAAGCCTTCCTCCTCCTCCTCCTCCTCCTCCTCCTCCTCCTCCTCCTCCCATTCTTCTCCTTCTCATCCTTCTTCTCTTTCTCCTTCTCCCCCTTCCTTTTCTCCTTCTCCCTCTTCTCTCTCCTTCCCCTTCCCCTCCCATTCTTTTCTTTTTTTTCTCCTTCTCTTCTTCTCCTCTTCCTTCTTCCTCTCCTCCTCCTCCTCCAGTGCCACCATTTCTCCCCTACTTTCTCCTCCTCCTTCTCCTTTCTCTCTTCTTTCTCTCCTTCTCTTTTTCCTAGTCCTAATCTTCTCCTCCTCCACCTCCACCCATTTCTCTTCCTCCCTCACCTTCTCCTTTCGCTCCCATTCTTCTCCTTCTCTTTCTCCTCCTCTTCCCCTCCTTCTCTTCATCTTCCAATACCATTGTTTTTTTTCTCCTGCTTCACCTCCTTTTCCTTCTCCTTTCTCTTTCTCTCCTTTTTCCTCTTCTCCTCATTCTCCTCCACCACCACCTCCACCCCCCATTTCTTCTCCTCCCTCACCTTCTCCTTTCGCTCCCATTCTTCTCCTTCTCTTTCTCCTCCTCTTCTCCTCCTTCTCCTCTTCATCTTCCAACACCACCACTTCTTTCTCCTCCTTCACTCCTCCTTCTCTCTTCTCCTTCTCCCTTATCCTCCTTCCCCCCCCCTTTCCCACCGAGTCCCCATCCCCTTACGTACCACCAAGATGAGGGTGCCCAGGCATTCCGCCAGGGCCTGCCGGAGAAGCTTATTCCTGATGTGCAGCCTCCGTCCGATGGCTGTCAGCATTTCCTTCTGCCTCCCCATGGCGCCTGGCTCTCACAATACAGGTGTGGAAGGAGTCTAGGAAATGCCTGGATCTGAACGTTGTCAGCCACAGCTCTCTGGGGCTTATGTCAGAATCCAAAACTGCCCCGGCTTATAAGCAGGTGGAGAGATCCTGGATCCGCCCCGGGTCCTCCTCTACCCTGTGGCTGCTGTTGTGCACACCCACGCCCGGACACACCCACTGCACAGTATTGCACGGAGCATGTGGTTTTTTTCCCTTCCTTTCTTTTTTTTCTTCTCAGCAATGTCTCACATACACACACACACACAATGAAATCATTGCCCGGTTGAAGCAGGGTGCTTGGAAAGGGTTCGAATTTAATTCCACACCTTCCTAAGCTGAAGTGCCTCAGACCCATGATCACCCAGGATAAAGCCAACACAGTGGCTTTCTCCTGCATTAACAGAGGGACAGAATCAAGATCACGTGAAGTGTTAGTACTGCTTTATAAGGCCCTGGTAAGACCACACTTGGAATACCACCTCCAGTTTTGGTCACCACAATGTAAAAAAAGACGTTGAGACTCTAGAAAGAGCGCAGAGAAGAGCAACAAAGTTGATTAGAGGGCTGGAAGCTCAAACATGAAGAACGGTTGCAGGAATTGGGTATGTCTAATTTAACGAAAAGAAGGATTAGGAGTGACACGATAGCAGTGTTCCAATCTTTGAGGGGCTGCCACAAAGAAGAGGGGGGTCCACTTATTCTCCAAAGCAGCTGAAGGCAGGACAAGAATCAATGGATGGAAACTAATCAAGGAGAGAACCAACCTGGAACTAAGGAGGAATTTCCTGGCAATTACAACAATTAATCAGTGGAACAACTTGCCTTCAGAAGTTATGGGTGCTCCTTCACTGGAGATTTTTACGAAGAGATTGGACAACCATTTGTCTGAAATGGTATATTGTCTCTTGCTTGAGGAGGGGGTTGGAATAGAATAGAATAGAATAGAATAGAATAGAACAGAACAGAACAGAACAGAACAGAACAGAATAGAATAGAATAGAATAGAATAGAATAGAATCTGGAAGGGACCTTGGAGATCTTCTAGTCCAGCCCCCTGCTCAAACAGGAGAACCTATACCATCTCAGACAAATGATTGTCTAGCCCAGTGGTTCTCAACCTGTGGGTCGGGACCCCATTTGGGGTCGATCGACCATTTCACGGGGGTCGCCAAGCAAGGCTGTCCGCCATTTTTTTTGTCTGCCATTTTTTTTGTCCGCCATTTTTTTCCCCTTTTCCGGCGGGTGCCTTACCTCCCTTGGGCTGGGCCAGCTGGTGGTCGGCCTGCTCCGTCTCTGCCGCTTGCCAGCTATGCCTCGGCCGGCGCAGGGGGCGGAACCACGCATGCGCGGCGCTCCCGGGCAGGGAAAGTCCTCGACTTATGACCGGTTGCATAGCCCTTAACTTACAACCGGTTTAGTCCTCGACTTACGACCGGTTTAGTCCTCGACTTATGACCGGTTGGGGTCGCGGCATTAAAAAGGTTGAGAACCACTGGTCTAGCCGCTTCTTGAAAATCTCCAGTGATGATAGCAGTATTCCATTATCTCAGGGGCTGCCACAAAGAAGAGGGAGTCAAGCTATTCTCCAAGGCTCCTGAAGGCAGGACAAGAAGCAACGGATGGAAACTAATCAAGGAGAGAAGCAACCTGGAACTAAGGAGAAACTTCCTGACAGTTAGAACAATTAACCAGTGGAACAACCTGCCTCCAGAAGTGGTGAATGCTCCAACACTGGAAGTTTTTAAGAAGACACTGGACAGCCATTTGTCTGAAATGGTATAGGGTTTCCTGCCTGAGCAGGGGGTTGTACTAGATGACCTCCAAGGTCCCTTCCAACTTTATTATTATTATTATGGAGCGCCCACGATTTCTGGAGGCAAGCTGTTCCACTGGTTGATTGTCCTCACTGTCAGGAAGTTTCTCCTTAATTCCAAGTTGCTTCTCTCTTTGATCAGAAGACCTCCAAGGTCCAAGGTCCCGGTTATTCTGTTATAAAGATGCTCCATGCTAAGAATCATGTGCTTCTTGCTTTTTTCCAGGAGAAACATTTCAATATTCCTGGAGGAATATCGCTCCAGGCGCCACCTTTTGCTCTTGCAGGATCAAAGCAGCAGGTTATTATGTTGGCTGATCAGATGTGAAAATCGAGAGGTTTCCCAGCCAGGAAGAGAAACAACCTTCCCCCATTTTTTTTATGGGTTGTTGACCACGTTTCTTTGGAAATTGTTCCCTTGAGGGTGTGCAGACTGCCTTTCCTGAATTTTAGGGGAGACGATGTGGGAATTGGGTTTCCAAGGCTTCACAGTTCTGAGCAATTGAGTCAATGTAGTGTTGTGTTTCTCAATCTCCGCAACCTGGAGATGTGTGAACCTCACAACTGGCTGAGAAATTCTGGGAGTTAATCCAGTCATCTTAAATTTAAGTTACTAACTTAATAACTTCACTTAGCCGCTTGGCAACGGGTTCATATTTATGACGGTTGCAGTGTCCCGGGGTCACGTGATCCCCTTTTGCGACCTTGTGACAAGCAAAAGCCAATGGGGAAGCCAGATTCACTTAACAATCGTGTTACTAACTTAACAACTGCAGTGATTCATTTAACAACTGTTACATGTGTTACAAGCTTAACCACTTAGCAACAGTGGCAAGAAAAGTCGTAAACTGAGGCAAAACTCACTGAACGTCTGTCTTGCTTAGCAATTTTATTTCATTATTTCTTATGGCGTAACAGAATGCAGTGTGAGTGCATCAAATTCACAGCCGTAAGCTTAGCCATTCTAGTAACTGCTGATACGTAATTTCATTTCATTCATCATTTTTATTGTCCCAAAGGTGCTTTATTCAAGAGGCAACTGGATTTTTCTTGGGGGGTTTTTTGAAGACGTTTCGCTTCTCATCCAAGAAGCTTCTTCAGCTTGAAGCTTCTTGGATGAGAAGCAAAACGTCTTTAAAGCGAAACAAGGAAAGTCCAGTTGCTTCTTGGAAAAAGCACTTTTGAGACAACCGTGGCCTGGATGACTGAGAATCTCTATAGACACGATTTTTATTGTGCATTTTTAAAATAATTCACTGTATTGGTGTTTATATTTGCTTAGCAATGGAAATTTTGGGCTGTACGTCGAAGCTTACCTGTATGTAAAATCCAGATAATGCAAAGCTGAATCAAACCCTAACAGCAAAGTAAATTAGGGTGAACAATCATCCTAGTGTTAAATATGTCAAGCTGTGCACCACACTGATCTCTATAATGGCTTGGAAGCCCCCCCCCCTTAAAAGCTGGAGCTTATTAATGTTTCCACTTCCAATTCTCTCAAACAACCAGTGCACCACCATTAAGAAATTTAGTGCAAAATCTGCAGTAGATTCTTCTGTGGAGGAGAACTTCCCAAAGCCTCTTTTGATCCTGGTGGCCACCATCTTATTATGTGATGATATAGCTTGTTTGGGGCCCTGGGTGTCTGATGTCATGTTGCGTGTACCACGATGTCTTCAGGCAAGTGACACACTTCCACTGCTTCGCAAGGTCTGCCTAGGTCCATAATTCTGCAAACCAAGGGCGTCCAATTTAAGACTTGTGGACTTTAACTTGGTCTTGTGGACTTCACTTTAAGACTTGTGGACTTCAACTCCCAGAATTCCCTAGCCAGCGCATGCTGGCTGGGGAATTCTGGGAGTTGAAGTCCACAGTTCTTAAAGTGGCCAAGGCTGGACAGCTTGTTGTAAATCAATTGTATCTTTTGGAGAACATAATTTGGAGAGGGTTGCCAGATCTCTGTAGACATCACAGAAGGGATGAAGTCAAGATGGCAACCGTGCCCATCATATTTTATGATGCACATTAAAAGGAAGTTAATTTGGACTGACTGGCCCCAGTGATCCCCTTGACTCCACCTGTGGACACTCCAAATCTCATCCTACAACATTAGTCATTGGCTAAAAGGCTGATGGCTGCATTTGAGAGAGCAGCTAAAGGTTCACGTATGAATCAAAGATGGGGAAAACTACATGTTACATCGACTTTTTAGGAGTCTGCCTTGAAGGAACCCTACCATTTAGGTCTGACTCAGCAGCAGCTGAACGCCCGTGGGCCTTCTCTTCCTGGGCCTGGACTCATTCAACTCTAGCTCAAATTAGAGCGTGACACAACACAAGGTGTTGTGCTGACTAAGTAACAGGCAGGAAAACCACCACACCGTGAGTCACCCGTTCGAGTGCCCTGAAGTTGTGGGGTTGCACAAGTTTTGCTTAGCTTGTATTGTCCATTCATTACTCATTGGGGCTGTTCCTATCGTTTCCTCCACACAATCAAATCTGCAAAACGCAAGAAACCCAGATCGAAAAGAACCAGCTAGCACCGGCTGAAAACACATTTGGGTGATCTCAACCGTGGTTAAAATGGAGAAGCAGAAACCGCAGTCCCTATCTGGTTTATTTGAAAGCTATTACGAGGAAGACAAATTTGCCTCTTTCCTCCTGACCCCACAGAGGCTAGAGAATGTTAAAGTTCTGGTTTTAAACCAATGTTGGTTCAAGAAGCCACAGTACCTGAGTTCACACGTCTCCCTAAGCCAGGGGTCTTCAAACTCGGCCCTTTTATGACTCGTGGACTTCAACTCCCAGAATTCCTCAGCCAGCGTGCCTGGCTGAGGAATTCTGGGAGTTGAAGTCCACGAGTCATAAAAGAGCCAAGTTTGAAGACCCTTGCCCTAAGCAAACTCCAGGTTTGAGAAAGTTACCACAACACTATTGTTTTTTTTCTGGAAAATAACCCCATCAGATTTGATTATAGTATATATAGAAGAATGGTGGACTACAGTTCCCACAATTCCCTGGCCACTTGGCCAGGGAATTCTGGGAATTGAAGTTCATACATCTTCCTATTTATCATCTCTCTCTCGCTCTCTCTCGCTCTCGCTCTCCCCCCCCTCCCTCCCTCCCTCAATTTTGATCATGGGGATGTGGTAATGGTCGTAAGTGTGAAAAATGGTTGTAAGTCACTTTTTTCAGTGCCATTGTAACTTTGAACGATCACTAAGCGAAATGTTGTAAGTAGA